TAGGGGAAGGGCATGTCTACAGTAACTGGGGGGAAACCGCTTGATGCCGAAACCCCAGTGCAGAATCAGAAACTCTTCAAGCCAGGCACAGCACCCCAAACCGCACCCAGCAGGTGGAAGCAGCCTCTGGTCCCCAACCTGGCAGCGCTGGCGGCCCTCACCTTCTCCACGTTCTCCACGTTGAATTCCAGATTCTGCTGGAGCTGGAAAGCGGGGTCCCCTCGGCGCTCCATGGTGCCCCAAGCCCGGAGCCTCGCCCTCTCCTCGCCTGGGGCTCTCAGCTACAGCGGGGCAGGCGGGGGCAGCGGCATCGCGAGGAGACGGCGGCGGGACGCGGAGAAAGAAAAACAGCCGCCTCTGCAGGGCTGGCGGTCTGTCTCTCTTAACGGGGAGGGCGACCCTCGTCTGTCTCCGCAGGAAGGTTGGGCGCGTGGCTCAGCTTGGAGTTTAGCCGGCTTCCCGATTCCTCCCCAATGAGTCGGGGGGGGGGTGCCTATCAGCTTCTCTGCAATAGGAGGAGGGGCAAGTCTGTGCGTCCCCGGTGGGGCCAAGGGAGTGAATGGGCAGGTTTTTACCTGCCTCTCTTCAGCTGGAGGAGAGGGAGGGGATATCCCCCACCAGGTGAATTACACGACCCGCCTTTGCCCTGATGGGAACGACGGAGCAAAGGGAAACCCAACAGCCCCTAATTTTCTTGAGGAGGGAAGAAATATTTCGGTCCGCCTGCCCTTCTGCCTTTAATGGCGGAGGAAGTGCCCGTCCATCGCACAGCTGAGAGATAGGCGTCTGCCTGCCTGCCTGCCTGCCTGCCTGCCTGCTCCTCCTCCTATTCCTCGCTCACCGATCCCTCCACTCTGCGCTTAGCTCTGCCCAGGCGGGTCGGTCTCCCTGCCTAAGGCGACAACCACCGCCGCCACTTCCCCTGTCGCGCAGCCCGACTACTTGACTGACAGTTGGGCCGGGCGCTCAGAAGCACAACCAAACGAAGAAGGAGAAAGGGGACCTCGCGCGCTACCGGGTTGTCCATATCAAAGGCCGCCTGCCGGCTACTTAATCGCCCTTCCATTCAGGCGCCAAGAACACTCCTGCCCGCGGAGGACCAGCCTCGTTTCGTGGGATCATGGGAGCTGTAGTTCTAAATGAGACCGGCGAGATAACGAACAGGGCAACGGCAATAATTGATGGGAGCTGTAGTTCCAGTCAGAGTGTGTTTCTTTTCCACCCTCTGTCTGGGTTGCAAAATGGCGAATGCTACAATGGTGAGATGAGCACTGGCCTTTCATTAGTAGTGGGGTGTCTGGACAAGAGTCTTGATTGCCGTCGTATACGTGTTTGTTTTGGTTCTGTATGTATTAACGTTATGTGTTTATTTTCATTTTTTCCCCTCAACGTTTTCGTTATTTTCTGGTTCATGTTTTCCATCTTGTCGTTTATTGTTATCATATTCGTTCCTTTGAAGAAGAAGCAGGATAAAAAGAGTATTGATGCTTTTGAACTTTGGTGTTGGAGAAGACTCCTGAGAATACGGTGGACACCAAGAAAACAAACCAATGGATCATTGAACAAATCAACCCAGAGTTCTCACTCGAGGTACAAATGACCAGGCTTAAATTATCACATTTTGGACCCATTATATCAAGACTTGGCTATCTGGAAAAGGCTCTAATGCTGGGAGAGGTGGAAGGAAAGAGAAGAGGATGACCCGCAGCAAGGTGGGTAGACTCAGTTACAGTGGCGATTGCTGGAAGACCTGAAGGACCAGGTTAGGGGCAGATCATCATAAAGAACATCTATCTGTGTGGTTGCTAAGGGTTGACACCAACTTGATGGCACATAATCAGTCATCAATTGTTTTATTTCCTGGTTTCCTTTTCTCTTCTGCTGTAGTTTAAAAGGCAATAAAATTTTTATTTTAACAAATGAAGGGTTAGCCCAATCATCTTCAAGCCAGATAGGCTGGATGAGTAGGGGACTGCCTCTGTCCGCAGAAGCAAAGCTGGGCCAGGCCTCCTCCAAATGCTCTGAGTTTCCTGAACAAGGCTGCTGTCTCCAGTTGGGGTGGGATGCTGTCCCCCTGTCAGTGTTGAAATAGCTCAGCCAGCTTTTGTATGTGGTTGGTTGTTTGCCTCAGACAGCAAAATATGTCATGCTGCTCTGCTGAGTTCCACACAGAGCAGCTCAGCTCCTTAAAGGAGCTCTCCAACAGTGCACATCCTGAAGTCCCAGGATCACATGCATTGGATGAGCCCCCCCCCCCCAACTTCCAAAAGCCCTTAATCAATTGCAAATTTTGAAGTGATAGAAGGAGTAAGTTACATGATGGTGAAGCAATCATATTAGTTGTATTTACTTTTAGTTTGATTTGAATGAGGATGCAGTAAAATAAAATTTAGCTTTTATTCTGGTCCCATCCAGTGCAGTTTTAGGGTTCAACCAAGCCAAGTAGGACCACTGGCCCGGAAAAAAATGTGCACATCTTAGCTAAACCAGAGCTCCATAAACAGTTCAGAAACAGTACATTTTATATTGTTTCCAATCTGCTCTCAAGAGGTTTTGCACTACAGCATCCATCATAAATCATGATGGAAATTGTAGTCCAGCTTATCTGTAAGGTATTAGATGACAGAAAGATTTATAAGCCCACTAATCACTTAAGCAAGTCATACCAGAAAGATCAAATGTAAAGGAGCACATTTCCTTTTGTTCCCTACCTTTAATTTATATAGAAGGCACAAAGACCTTTTCTCCTTGCATTAGATTCATCTGGAAAAAAAACCAAACCCCACTTCTCTAAATCAATGAAATAGTCCTGGCCTCTTTTTCATCCTTTCAGAGAGGACAGAAAAAATAACCACTATAATAAAAAATAAAGTAAATCTCTTGTTGCAGGCTGTGATTAACGTGATTCCTGGTACTGAAATCATTGGAGATCATTGGTCAGATAATATGAAAGAATATCTTTTGCAGTGATAGCTTGATTTGGTTCTTTTTTGGGGGGGCGTAAAGAGATTATAAATATATGTAAATGTAATATAAAATCATTACAGATACAGAAAAAGGAAGGTAATCTTTTCCGTTATTATGATATCCTAAACATTTAAAGTATAGTCTAACAAATTGGTTAAAACAAACAAGTTAGGTGTTTTTATGTGCCTGGGCATAAAGGACGGCATTTACCTTAACACACACCCTCTTGACACATAATTATTAGGATTAACATCTACTGTATATAAAGATAGGTGGTACAACCTTATTGTACAATAGTTTCCAATATAAACACCGTTTAAGCTACATGCGGTAACAGCTAGCCAACGACGTGGTAGGAGTGTGAGTAAGCATTTATTCAACTGGCAGCTTCTTTGTAGACAAAAGTATATGTAAGCCCATGAGGTATCATTGGGCTTTTCTGTATGAAGCTGCATATCAGTCCCTGGATTATTTGTGAATTATAAATGTATGTTGTGCCTTTAATTAAAAATCATTTGGATAAGACCTGATCACAAAGGCTTACAGTATTAATGAGGAAATTAGGCATGTATCAGGACCTCACAAAAGCTAAGCCACAATTATAAATGTAAGGCCTCCATATCTGGGCTTCAGAAATTCAACAACCACTAGGTGACAGCAGAGAGATACAGAAAAAGAATTATTTCTGTCATCTACCAGCTGTTTGGATTTTTTCAGCCCAGATGTGGTATGCCTAATAAATTGTTAGTTTTTTGGGGTACCAAAATAGGTGTTTTGGCAGCAGTAAATTAACATAGCTATCTCCATGGGTATTAGGAATATAAACTGGCAGTCCCCAGTTTAAGAACAAGTTCCGTTCCCAAGGTCTGTCCTTAAGTCGAATTTGTATGTAAGCCAGAACAGTATTATTGTATAATACTGTATAAGCAGTATTGTGTAATGAACTCGAACCATTGTGTAATGAACTCGAACCATTGTGTATTTAACTTGACTTTTGCTACAGTAGGCTCTGTTCTTAACTATGGGTCATCCTTAAACCGGGCGTTCTTAACCCAGGGACTACCTGTACTGACTTTTAACCAGTAATCTCATGGCCAAATTCAAAGCATTGGTGTACTGATTATGGTTCCCTGAAAGAAAGGAGAACTCCCTTATTGCTCTCTTCTGACTAACCTGCTTCTGACCAATCTCCAAGAAGGAGAACCTTTTAAATCTGAAAAATAAAGGAACATTAATTAAAATTGTGGGTTTTTTTAATATCCTGAAAATGTGTAGGAAGAAAACAGAAATTTTGTAAAAGTCTTTATTGTTGGCATATGCCATTTTTGCCAGGGTGGGGGGATGCCTTTGAGTCAGTGTTGACTTCTGGCAACTACCTGAACTAGTCCCTGCAGTTTTATTGGCAAGATTTTCCAGGTTAAAAAAAATGTTCCCAGATTGCTTTGATTGGTGTGGGAAATATTGTTCATGCCATCCAATGCATGTTTATCCAGCTATAATCAATAGAAGAAGAAAATTTCTCCAAGGTAATTGGTACAGTCTAAAGTGAGCATTTTCATCTTTTTCCTCATATATGAGAAAATAAGTTAAACCTTCAAAATTTTCTCCCCCTTCATACAATACTTAGTTGACTTTCAGCTCCTAACAGGAAATCATCATCTATAACAACTTCTAACTTTTTATTTTCCAGGTATATTGGACTACAATACCTTACATCCTGGCAAAATAGTTAGTGATTGGGTATGGTAGGTATTATAGTCAAATTTAAAAATTAGGGGCCATGAAACTAGTACACTATTAAAATGTACAAATGGTGTATTCTAAACATTTCAGAGAGAAAGGTATCTAGAGCCTCTTTTTACGGTATCTGGTAATGTTTTATAATGCTTTATCTATATTTGATACCTTAAGTAATATTTGACTCATATGAATTGTAAAACTATATTTAGTAATTAGGGTTTCTTCTTGTTCTTTAGTTTCCTCCCATATAGGCATACACATAAAGCCAAGTCTGCATCGCCTTCACAGGCTTTATTGCTACAGGAAATGGTTGCTGTACAAAAATAGAGTTTATCCCAATGCAAATAAAGGACAAAGAATACAAAATCAGGAAAGGAGGAAGAGGAAATGCCCTTGCTAAGGCCAAGTGGGGAAAAGGGGGTAGGAACTGCTGGTCACAGGCCAGGGCATAGCATCAGCTTTTAATGTATACCAGACCCAGCTCTCAGCTTCATAAATAGGTTGCCACAAGGGAGTGAGTGGGGTGCAAATAAATAAATAAGTTACAGAATAAATAAGTTGGTTTAGAAAATTTAAACTTTCTAAATAAGTTTAGAAAATGTCACTTCAGGGCAGGGAGGTTCCCACTCTGCTGGTACTAAATGATGGTTGAACCAGGATTCAAAGAATGGCAAAACTATTGCTGCTTCCATTGCCAGCCTGGTAAGTGCAGTAGTCGAACTCCAAGCTATTGCTGGTATGTCTGGGCATGTTGGACACCAGTATGTCAATGCCATCATTGGCTTTATAAACAAGCCCCTTTTCTACCTGCAGAGGCCTTGATTGTGCCAGGGAAACACTACAGTTTCCTGATCTGGCTTGCAAAAATCCTGACTACTAGATGGCAACAACTTTCCTTACTACCAAAGATCCAGTCATCTGGATCTTTGCAATCCAGATCTGGTAGTTCTGGGAAATACATCAACTTTGCCCTTTCATAGGATGCACACCCCATCTGCTAAGGATGAGTTCTCACAGGAAAAACCCTCCAATGAGGCTGAAGACTATAATAATGAAACCACTCCCAAACAAACCACAACGTTCTTCAATCCTCAGAGAGTGTGCTGATTATTCTAGCACAGTCAGAAGGTTGGAGCAATCTCTGAATGTTTAGGGCACTAAATAGGCTTGCAAAATTGTCCTTCATCTTAACTACAACTGCTCCTGGATGGAGTTAGAACATATCTCTAAGGAAAAGGCAGATGGTGGGCTAGAATAAAAAGTGGGGAGAGAACATGTGCCTTGTAGCAGATGGGGCTACATGACCTAGCAAGCAGCCTTCTTTAAACTGCCTGGAGGATGACTGGTTGGCACCACAAGTCTCTCAGGTTAAATGCTACACTCCCATCTCCTGAATAAGATATGAGAATTTCCAATGCTTTTTCTTCAGTGGGAGAAAAGGCTTGATAGGTAAGCAGATTCATAACACTGTTAATGGACCAATCTTTAAAGGAGAAATGCCCATTCCATAGCTAACGGCAGTCTGACCATTTTATCATTGATGATGGGTGAATGCTCTCTAAAGGCCAAGATATATTTGGGCCAACCACCATGCTTCACTCCTACTAACTGTCCATTCATTCCTCCCATCTGGACTGGAAAGCTCCATCATGGAGTTTATTTCTCCTCCTGCCACAACTTACAGGAAGAGCAGGCTTATGATCTCTCTGTAGCATGAACATGGATATGTCAACTCAGTGACCCCATGAGCTCTGAACAGATAGCACTTTCAGCCCACACAACCGCACTCTGCTGCTGAAACTTTGTCCAGAGTCTTCCAGACATTGTGCACATCCATGAAAGAGAAGTTCTCATACCGGGTGGGTCGGCAACAGGGTTGAGAAAAAGGGGAATGATCATGAGGCCCAGGCACAATGGCATGTTGCTCTATGAGGTGACTCAGGGTTAGGTCATAGTTAGTGCGGGTACGCTGGCATGACCCACTGCAATACTTGAACTTAACAACCTCATCAGAATCGTAGCCAAGCCCCAGATCCCGCACTTTCATTCTGAGGCTATGTAAGCGACAATAGCGGCCACGATTAGCACGTCCAGCCTTCCTGGATCCTTTCCTGGCACTGCTGGAGCTTGATGGGGAACGCTCAGCCCTGAGAAGTTCCGATGTGCTCAGCTCTTGTATGGTCATGTTTTCCCCTGGAAGAAGAAGGGGGAGGGGTCTTAATTCTTCCTAAGACAAGAAAAAGGCCATAGATCTTGAGGAAAATACATTTTTCAGTCCATATGACCATTTGGGAGAAAGGAAGTCTCAAAAATCCAATTGGCTTGGATCAAGAATTCACAGCCCCCTCCTCCCCAAGCCACTTTCCCTGGAAAAATGCCAGGTCCCTACCATGCCAGTGGTTCCACACAGCCAGAGATGGTGTTTCCATGCTGTTTTCCTCTACAGAGGCAGAGCTGGCAGAGCCCATGCTTCCAGAAGCTGCTCCCAAGGTCTGGTTATGATACCAGGTCTCTGAACTTGCCATGACTGCCCCAGCAAACAGTGACAGTAGAGTAATGGTACCCCACAAACCCTGCTCCTAAGATAGACAGGAGGACATATAACAGTAAATATGCTGATTAGGATACAGATAAAGTGGAAGGTAAGAAAGCAAGATATGCTAAATTGTCTCAGGGCCATTTTACATATGATGATCCTCTCACATGACATCATGTGGAGGCTGTGGTCAGGATGGCCTTGGCCCAGCTCAGGCTGGCACACCAGTTATGGCCCTACCTGGACTGGGAACATCTTGCAACAGTAATTCATGCTGTGATCGCTACCCAGCTGGACTACTGCAAATGCACTCTATAAGCGGTTGCCTTTAAAGACCACCTGGAAATCCAGTCGGTACAAAATGCTGCAGTTTGCTTCTTACCTGGCGCTAGGTGCCAGAAGCATATAACACCTATGATGCAGGCCCTGCACTGGTTCCCAACGGGCTTTCAGGTGCATTTTAAAGTCCTGGTTTTGACCTATAAAGCTATATGTGGCTTGGCACCAAGGTACCTTCAGGACCACCTCCTCCAGCTAAAATCAAACCATATGACATGCACATTCCAGGAGAAATTGCTTGTGATCTCCTACTTATGTGAAGTTGGGAGGGCTAAGGCCAGGAAGAGAGAGTTATCCATCATGGCCCCCATGCTATGGAACAGCCTTTCCCTGGAAGTTCGATTTGCTCTAATGTTGATGGCATTCCAGAATCAAGTTAAGACAAAGCTCTTCTGGAGGTTTTTTAAAACTTAGTTAAGATGATACCATCTTTTGAATTTTCTTTTTGTATGTTTTTCCATTTTTAGCCTGCATGTTGGTTGCCTTTGGGTTTTGATTATTACTTCTGCACCATGAGTATTTTATTTCTTACCATTGATGTTTTATGTTTGTTGTAATGTTGATTGAGCATCTTATGATTATGGAGGTGTAGCATTGAAATACAATAAATACTTCTTTCCATGGTGTAATATATGTATCAAACAATCATAGGTAAAAATCTGAATGCAAAGGAATCCTTTTCACTTCAAGTATACCCAGTGAGAACCATAGCAATATAAGCATGGAACAGAGACCCATGTGAATTCATCACACAAATCAGTGCATGGCAGGATATCTATTTTGGACTATATAGAAATGATATGAATATTAAAAATTACCATCTCAAATGTGAAATTTGGAGGTTTGTCTGCCAGAAGTGGGGCGTTAAGCTAACCAAAGAAACCAAAACAGCAGGCCCATATACTGGAAACCAAAGTGAAGTGAAAGAAAGAAGAAGCTCTTCCATCTTTCATACATTGAATGGGCTTCTTCCATAGACAAAGGCCTCTGTACTATTTCTGGAACTAATGCCCTGATGTCAAGAACATTCCTTGGCATTGACTAACTCACCCTGGATCGTGCTTGTTGGATAGGCAAACTCCTGCAGGCAGAGGGAGGTCTGTCTAATCTGTGCCTTGACCCCTCAACTCTCCACTCCATCCTACCTGAAATACAAAGACACGGTTCAGGAACCCAATTCTATTTCTCTGAAGGCATACAAGCTTCTGGCCCAGTTATGGCCTCAGCCTGCTGTACCTCTATGAGCAGTCCTTCCTGGACTATAAAATTATTTCAGTAAAAGTATCAATCCTACTAATCAAAGATGATCAAGAAGCCCCTAACAAGATACTTTGTTCCTGGCCTAGCAAATTTGTATGTTGCAATCTTTTATTAAGTCTCCTTAAGATTGGTCTGTTACATTAATAGATTGGCATAAGGATATTTCCACAGTTCCAGTGTATCTGCCAGTAAATTTTTAAAAAGCAGATCCTCTAGCATTAGTTAAGAGCAGCAATGCCCAGATTAAACATAAATTTTGCAACAGAATAAAAAAATTGTCATCATGTTATGCCAGTTGCATCCAAAGATGTTCCATGGGATAATCATAGATCCTCCCTGTACTGAAGAGCAATAATCTCTGAAGTATCTGTCAGGTTCACATTCATGACAGAATACCTATAAATATTTATGGATTTATAAGGGTGGCAACTAGACTTGGAACAGACAATCCTCATGGAAAAGTCTTACATGAAAATTTTCCACACAGGGAACTACTGTGGGTTGGATGATCTCAGCAGCCTGCTTTTCTTACGAACAGTTCTATCTACATTTGATGTTTCTTCTGTATGAATTTTGGATTGTAAACTAGGGGTGCAAAGAATGGAGTCTGGGAGCAACATCAGTTTACCAGTACTCCCTTTTACGGCCCTCAGAATCTCCAAAGTAGGTGGGTCTTTTTCATTTTGGGGATTGGCTAGTTTTAAGGGCAAAATGGGAGCCTTAAGACCTGCAAATAATTAAACAATTCATTTCACCCATTAAAGTTCCTGATACTCCCACCAAAATGGGCCTTGGACACCTATTTTTAGAGAGCCAAGTCTGGTGCAGTCCTTGAGCTCATAGGAATTGCCTATCTTGCTTTAAGCTCTTCAGAGCAGGGACCTATTTTTTTGCCTCCTGCAATGAGCATACACAGATGGAATAAATATAATTATATACAAAAATAATGTGCCAATCATAGAAATAAATCTGATTCATCACCAAACATTCAACTCACTTTTGTGCCCAAGTAACCTAATATTTTAGTGTTTACTGCCAGCTATTTTTACCCACCAATACCCATGAATACGGAAAGTCCCCTAGATACAAACTTTCAAGTTGCGAGCTTCCGCTGATACAAGCAAGATGGACCTGGAAGTTGGACTTGGAAGTCAGGCCAGAAGTCAGGAGAAGGTGCGCTGCAAACTAACCCTTTCCCACCATCTCCTAACTTCTGGTTCCAACTTCCGGTCCTGACTTCTCGCATGGTCGGTTGTGTTTGGTGTGTGGTGACTGCAAATTGCAGACTGCAAATGTCTGCAATTAAGCGCAAGAGTCCGGGGGGGGAGGGGGGTAGCGGGATGAATCCACTATGATGCTCATGAAGATGGAGATATTGAAGAAAATGGGGGGGGAGAAGATGGCAAACACATGTTCCTACGGGATGAATCGTTCCACTATTGGAACA